CATAGGTTCTATTGCAACTCAGAGGAGAGTTGAGCAAGCCCAGTTGGGCCTCCATTCAGATCCATCCACATGCACACCATTGGCCTCTGACAGATTCCTTAGCAGCTTTTTCATCAACACAATGATAACTTCTACTAATGCTCCGGTTATCAGAAGGATGTCCAGGGCGAGGTCATAGAACGTCTCTTTGGAACAAAAGCACATGTGGAATAGGCAACTGGTGAGAGCAACGAGAATCACCCTGACAGCCAAAACAGAAGCGCATCGCCAACTGAGGGCACGCCACACTCCAGGCAAAGTCTCCACTTCCATCTGCCTGTGCCACAGCCCAGCCAAACACTGATTCACATGGCAACCAAGACAAAGAACCGAATGACTCATCAACATACACGGTGGTATAGGAGTAGTTTCTAGAATAGGTGTGTACACAAAAAGCCTGTATAACTCAAAAACCAACCTAGAAATAAATGCCTTTAGGAAGCAAACATCGCAGCTACCCAAAATCCGAAGCAGTCAGTATTCCCTCCAGCTTTGATAAAGCTCAACTGAGCACCAGGTCAGCAGTCTGCTTGCATTCAGTACATAAAGTGTGTTTTTTGTTTTTTTTTTTTTTTCCCATGTTTATTTGTATTTGTATTTTTTTTTAAAAGATTTATTTATTTATTTATACAAGCACTGGGTACAGTCAGAAGCGCAGGAGGGTGAGAGAATTCACCAGAGCCAGAGCGGGGAGCAGAGCAGGCAGAAGGACCGAAGTACACTGCTGAGGGGCATAAAGTGTGTTTTTTAAACACTCAGTGTGGCAGAAAGCCCACACCTTGAAGGGTACACAGAAACTTCAGAGCCAACAAGGCACAGGCAGATTCTCAACTCCTAGTCAGACCTACTCTGGGACAATTACTGGCTGAGTAGAAAGCCAGGTAGAATAAACTGAACTATTTTGTTATTTTCCTTCCTTTCACACTGCTCTCCAAATCACATAGGTGCATAATCAAAGGGGCACAGAACAAGTGTTCACAGTATCTACTGAACGTCTGTTGGGAGCGCTGCAAGCCTAAGTGGCTCAAAAGCAAGGATCCTGGGAGTCTGCAGGTCAGAGAGCTCCTGGATGAAACAAGCCCCAGAACTATCCATTCAGGCCGCAACGCCAGGAGAAGACACTACCAGTTACTAAGTAACTTTGGCTTCTTGGGCCCGCACCCGATAAAGATGCATGTTGGGCTCAGACCTCCTCAGTCAGGGCACATAAAGCTGCATGTGGCAGACACCCAGCCCGACCCTGCTCCAGCACAGCCTGGTGCCACCTCTGCAGTCATCTACCTGCACCCCTTCACATGGGATTCTGAGTTAGGAACTAATAAACACCCACCAAAAGATTTCAGTACTCCCTCTGGTCTGGGTACCATAAGTATCTCTCCGGCTGCACCTGTCCCAGGGAGGGGAAAATGCAGTACAAGTCACAAGACCTAAACCTCAGTGGCCTCTGGTCCCCTGGTGTCAGGAAAATTTCCTACTGCCAACTTCAGGCCTCCCCTCCACAGCAGTCTTCTTCCTAAAAGGGGAGGTCTAGCGCTATCACTGCCATTTTCCTGTTTATAGGATACGTGCATGGAAATGAAAAGTCCAGATCTTAAGGAACCATTAAACCTTGTGCTTTCAGGAAGCTACCAGAGTGCCACGCCTTCCTCCCTCAGGGCGGCCACGGGGACACTAAGAGCAGGGTCTCAACAGCCAGGCAACCTTGGGCTGGAGCCCAGCTCTGTCCCACAGAACGGTGGGATCACGGGCAAGTTAAACTCTGTGTGCCTGCTCTCTTAACTGTGGCCTCCTCCCAGGGCGAGGAAGGTAAAATGAGAGAACCCACCTAGAAGGCTTGGCATAGAAACTGTGCCACTGAAAATGCCCCATCATGCCATCAAAGACACAGACACAGACCAGCTTCTCAGCTCAACCTGAACTGGCCTGAGATCTGTACTGTCCAGTCCTCACTGTCACAGGTACTAGACTTCATAGGATGGACAGAGTAACAGACACTGCTGTGTACACAAAGCCTCCTCTTCCCAGTACCTGGAAGCACCAGAGGAGCCTGCTCTAGGAGTCCGGCCCACCTGAGCACAGACAGGCTCCTTAGGCGCATGTGGGCCCACGCATAGGTGGAGATGCGGGATGACTGTTTACAAGAAGTTGTGCCCGTCTGAGTCCTGGCCCTGTCACTCCCTAGCTGTGTGACCGGGGGCAACTTAATTTCTCTAGGTGCCAATTCCATCACCTGCAACACAGAGATCATAATTACAGCTATCTTGGGATTACTGAGAATGGTGCCTGGCAGAGAAAAATTATTATGTTATTTAAATATAAGAGATGGCCTCTGAGACCCCAAGTTTAGCATGTCTCAAATCTAACTCATCTCCACAACCCACCCTCAGTCTTATTCTCCTTCCTGTACTCTAATTTGGCAGCATCTCCACCCACTCAAGCAAAAACTGTCTGTTCCTTAGCTCTTCCTAGACCTTCTACTCCCTGGCCTTGCCTACAATTCAGTCTTGCCAATTCTACCTAAATCTCTTCCCTGTCCCCTCTGCCCAGCACCGCCTCTTCTCTTCTCTTCTCTTCTCCATAGATACCTGAGGCCTCCTCCTCATGATCATCCCAGGTCACCCGTCTCGCCCCTCTGATCCCAACAGCCTGACTGCTCAGGAACACCAGTCTGATTGTGCTCCTCTCCTCCCTCGAAGCCTTTCGTGCCTCCCCACTGCTTATTCAAGTAGTGTGCAAAGCCCTCCAGAGTCTGCCCAAATCTCTTCCAGCTTCCTCTTCTATAAGACCCTCACTCACAGTCTCTGCTGAGTTGTGCCTCCAAACCTACCAGGTGCTTTCATACTTCGGGGCTGGGCCCTTTCTGCTAACATGGCAAGCCCCACCTACCCACCTTCTAGGATCTAGCTCCAAGTCACCACCACTCCAAAGGATTCCTTTCCTCAGTCTCTCGCCCACTGCCAACAGCATCCCACCAGCAGACAACCCTCAAAAGCAGGCAAGGGTTATGCCCTTTACCTGTAGCCCCAGTCCCTGGCACCTTGTCTGATACAAAACTACGCATTTAATAAGCAAGTAATTTGGTATCTGGCAGAGATACTGAAAATACTCATGATTTTTTTTTAAAGATTTATTTATTTATGCATGCAAGAACCGGGGTACAGGTCAGATGTGCGGGAAGGTGAGAGAATTCACCAGAGACAGAGTGGGGAACAGAACAGGCAGATCTACTGAAATACACTGCTGAGGGGAGCAGCGGACCAGACAGGAGAGGTCTGCTGCGCCATGTGGGTATCTTGCCTGCCAGCTGGGATTGAACCCGCGCTGCGGAGGCTGTGGACAGCGTCACAGCTCTGCGCTCAACCTGCTGCGTCACCAGGGAGGCCCTGAAAATACTCATGATTTAAAGGTACCACCTTTCTCTTTAAAATAGCCCAGGTTGGGCCTCCCTGGTGGCACAGGGGCTAAAGTCTCAGTACCATCAAGCTATAAGCCACTGCTGTCTGAATCCCCGGACAGGGAGCTGACCCACATGGTGCAGCAGACCTCTCCTGTCTCACCTGCTGCTCCCCTCAGCAGTGTATTTCAGCAGATCCGCCTGTTCTGCTCCCCACTCTGTTTCTGGTAAATCCTCTCACACACCACATCTCTGGCCTTCACCCCAGTTCTTGTATGGAGAAATAAATAAAATAAATCTAAAATAGTCCAGGTCCCAAATACAGAATCTGAAAGAACTGAGTGTGTAGCTGGACTGGAGAACAGGACAGGGCAGGAGGTTCTGCCCTGGAAAGTCAGTATTACAGAACGCCACCCGGCAAATAAGAGCCCCTTGGAAGGCAGGTACATGAGCTGACCGTTCTCCTTCCAGGCTTAGCGCTCGTGTCCCTTCACTACCACTAAAAACTGAAGCTGGGCAAGACAGTAGTGCAATTCCTCCTTCCCAAGAGACCAGTTCATTAGTTTTCCAAGCGTCCAAGTTCACCTCCTGGAGGTGAGTTTTGGGAATGCATACCTGGACTTGCTCCTGGACTTGGCCTTTCAACTAGACGTGATGCAGATAGTTACCTATAGTCAGACAAACTCAGGTACCAGCCCAACCAAGTCTTACCATGGCACAGTACCATCTGACCATGGCATTTACCTGCCATGTCCCTGACACCTGCAGACAGCCAGCAAACTGGGCACTGGGAGTCAGCAAGCAAGGTTGCAGCAACCACGGCTCCGGGCGCAGGTGTCTGTTGCCACACCCTACCTGCCCTACCCACTATGCGCGCACTTTTCCTTCCTGACCCTCAGACACCAACACCCTGCTGCAGTCTCATCCTGGCTGGCAAGGAAACACGCCAGGAGGCCCAACGCACCCAATACTCTGCCACACTAAGTCAGACAACACCAGAACCCACTGTGAATGGAGAAGTCACCTAAAGCAGGGCTATCTGCATTTCAGGGGGGCCCCTGTTAAAATGTGAGTGATCTCCAGCCTATAGAAAAGTAGACCCCCCCATTCACAAAAGGAGCACATTCTCCAGTCTGTGGCAGAGCACAGAAGCCACAAGCCTCTCACTTTGCCACTCCTGCATCCGCTACAACATCCACACGTGGAGATGGCGAGCACGCCCCACGGCTGTCTCAGGAGCTCTTCCCTGCGCGACACGTTTCTTCTCCAAGAAGCCCCTGAATGTGGGGTCGCGTGAGTGGCTGGCGGCCAGGACCACTGGCAGTTTGGTTAACTGGCATCGGGAACGAGCAGGACCACGGGTCCCCACTCCTAGGGAGGGTGCGGGATGTGAAGAGCTGAGCTCGGGCCCAGCGCGCACCCTCCAACACGGCGCCTCCTCCCACTCGGGGGGCCAGGGACGTGGTGGGGGGCGGGGAGGCCCGCAGACCCGGGGCGCGGCGGGGACCCCAGGGCCGCGCGGCCGGGTCTGACCCCGCGGAGGCCCCCGCGGGCGGGGCGCCCTCACCTCTCGCGCCGAGCGGAGCTGCTGGCGCAGCGCGTCCTTGCAGCCGTAGGGGCCGCCGGCGCCCGCGCCGCGGGGCTGGAAGTGCGCCTCGACGCGCGTGGCGCCGCGGTAGGCGCCCTGGTAGAAGGCGGGCCAGCCGAGCTCCAGCAGCGGGGGCTCCAGGTCCGACTGCTCCGGGAAGTAGGTGCCGGACGAGCAGTCGTGCGCGGAGCCGAACGAGTCCTCGGGCCCCGCGGCCGCGCCCTCGTCGCCCGGCCGCTCGGCCGCCCGCAGGATGGCGCGCACCTCGCGGGGGTTCAGGAAGCGGCCCAGGCGCTCGCGCCGCAGGAAGGCCGCGAAGGCGTCGGGGCCGCCGGCCACCAGCTCCTCGAGCGCCAGGCGCCGCGCCTCGCTGTACAGCTCGGCCGGGTTGGGCGGCCCGCACGGCGACAGGCAGGCGGCGGGCAGCTCGTCCAGGCCCTCGGGCAGCAGCGCCATGGCGGCGATCGCGAGCGGCCGGGTCTGGCCGGCGCGGGCGTGCGAGCCGCTTTATAAGCACCTTTGAATCTAACCGGCCCGCGCCCCGGCTCTCCCATTGGCTGCCTTCGCCTAACGGCCGCGCAGGACGCTGCGCACGCCGCTTGGGCCACGCCCCTAGAGTGCTATTGGCTGCCGCGCCGCCCTGCCCCGCCCCACTTGACAACCGGAACCTTGCGCGGTGCGGAACCCGCCCTCTACCTGCGGGTTCTTCGCGGAGCTTAAACTTGGTGACACCTCGCCGGGTGCGACGGGGCCGTGCCCGCCCCTGCCCTCCGGCCGGCCGAGCCCCGCACGTCGGCTGGAGAGCGGGTGCCCGGCCGGAGTGACCGTGCGGCCAGGGCGACGGGCCTCGGAGTCCGAGAGTCCGGCCCCCGCAGCCGCGTTCGCCGCCTGTCGGCCCTGCCCGCGCTCGCTCCGGGCCCCGAACGCGCCGGTCCTGCGCTCTCAGCTTGCGGGAGGGCAGCCATGTCACCTGCAGTCAGTCACTCATTCGTTCGTTCGAAATTGCCCGTCGTCATAGTAGCCAATCCTTTGATTACACCCGCAGGTCGTGTTTTGGTCTCTCATTCATCTGTTTTTGCAAGACAGAACCTAGCCCTGGCTGAACACGCCGCTCCCCACCCACTTTCCGCTTGCCCCCCGCGTGCGCCCGTCCGGAGTGCAGGACTGGAGAAGAGAAAATGCAACCGAGCTGACTGGTTGTGCTCTAAACCCCTGACCTTGAGTGGGCCCTTGGGTTGCCCCCTCGCCTACGATTCCCTCATTCGCGCTACCTTCTCCCCTCTGCTTATCTTGGAGGTCCCCCACTAGTGCGCGGGAAAACAACAGTCAGAGAGATCATGGACACCTGCCCGGCACATCTGCTGGGCCTGCGGGACCACCCTGTTACATCCGCACCTCTGCTCAGTAGAGGCCCAGCAAACGCCAGCCCTTCCCCTGAGGCGCTGGGATCCAGCTCCTCCACCACTAACGGTAACTCTCCAGCGGCTCTCCCCTCCCTCAAGGGTCATAGGTCTCCCTTCTTGACTAGTCTATTCCTACCAGCATAGGAACATGCTGAAATCCTTTTCCTTAAAGCAACCCTGTCTGGACCCTACACTCCTCTAGAGCCTCCTCCCCTTTTCTCTGTTCGCTTTGATAGCATCACACCTAGGAGGAGTTGTCTACACTGCCTCTTTCCAGAGCTCCTCCCCTCTCTCTGCAGCCCTGTCCAAGCATTCCCGTGTCTCCACTGCTCAACCATGGCCTCGCTCCTCCAGGTCATCATGAGCTCCAATAAACCCAATAGCCCACCTTTAGACCTCACTTTCTTTGTGTAAATGAGAAAATCAATGTAGATGTGTAAAGTACTTCCTAAATGCTGTTACCATTATTATTTACAAACCAACAAACCTTTTAAATGGATGAATGCCTGCTGCTCTCTCTTCCCGTGCCTCCCTATTCCCAGCCTGTTAGTAAAGTTTCTAAAACCTGTGTTGGGGGTCTTCCAGGTGTCCCTGCTCTGGCATCTAGTGTTCAGGTGGGCACAGGAAACAAGGACCATGGTGTGGGACAGAATATAGCTTGCCCTTGAGAATAAGCAGGTTCACTTGTCATAATAATATAAAGTGTGGCACAGTATTTTATTTCCCCATTATAAGTTCTATGATGGGAAAGACAGGGGTGGATGGGGGGAAGTGGCCAGGGCAGGTCAGAGCATGCCAAGAACAGAACAGAGGAGAGGGCAGACCTGTTATATAGCAAGGTGTCATCACACTACCTTTGAAAGTGTGAAAAATCATCTATACCTAGGAGCTCCATGTTGATCCCAAAGGGAACATCTGACAGACTAAAAGTCATTCCCATCCACCCATCTTTGCTTGAACTCATCAGGTTTCAGCATTTCCAGTACGGAAAGACAGTCTATCCCAGTGTCACCTCTGCAGCGCCCTCTTCACCACCCCCACCCCCCAGGAATGCCCACTGTGGTGAGGACCTGCAATCCCAGGCTTTACCTCTTGTTGAATTCAAGTCAACCCAGTTCAAGGGAACTCACAGCAATGACCACAGCCACACTAGCAGGTGTTATTAAAAGGAATTTAATAATCTTAATTAAAAACTCTTAACAGCGAATTCTGTCACAGGCCTTGGCAGCTGGAAGCAACTCCAGAGGTGTGCCCCTTTGGGGTGTGGTTGAGCCACAGTCTTGGCCAGGTGGCTTGCCACTTCCGCCGGGTAAGGAGCTACCTGGGAGTTACTTCAATACAATATCAAAGATCCGCGAGGGTTTTTTTTTAAAAAAAAAGTTTTAAATATATTAGACTCTCTTGATTGCCATTTTTACACAAAGCTGCTGATACAGTATACAGAGTTTTAACTTTTTTCACATAAAATACATTTTTCTTGAGTATTCTCTGTACATCAGTGGCTTCTGGTCTGGTGAATTATTGCGGAGGGCTGGGGGTCTGCAGACTTTTTCTGGGTGTGCAGAGCCAGGCCCCGCACTGTGGCACTTACAATGCCCATAGGAAGCAGGCCCTCTGGCCAACAAGAGATTCCTGTGGAGGAGAGGGCGACAGCTTCTGGCAAAGGGAGTCACTTTTACGAATCTGTTCCACTGACCACAGGACCCTTTGTTCTTGGGTGTCCCGGGGGAGGGGAGCTATCCAGGCAACAATAGCAAGGGTTATATACAGTCCTTCTGGGAAACTTCTAAGGCGCACCCTTCTGGAAAGTGCCCCAGGATCCTGCTCTGGGAAAGCAGGTGGGAGAGAAGCTCAAGGTCAAAAGGTATCTGACACCAATAACCAAAATGGTCTTATGTTATTACAAAACCAGCAAACTGGCGGGGTGAGATGGGAGACACATCCTTGTTAGCTTTTTCTAAGCCTATTGAAATCGATCAAACAGTGCAGAGCAGTTTGGCCAATGTTGCGCATTTGATGAAGAATGACATCCTGCTGTCTTCAGTAGACCTGGGTCTAGCAGCCCTGAGCTACTGACCAGAAACTCACTGTGATAACCACCAAGTTTCAATTATTTGGGGGCACAGGGTAGAAGAAAGGGCCAGAGCTCACAGTGAGCCAGGTGGCACCTGCTTTAGAAGTAACTTCCTTTAACATGCCAGGAACTGCCACCAGACCTGTATCTCAGCAGGAGCCAGGCATCTGGTCGACTAGTCAGATTTCTACCAGCTTCCTGATCTACACCTAACAAAAGAATAAAGATTCATGAGGAAATGCTTCAATATTAAAGGAGAAGCGCCTTTCCTCCCAGCTATTGGTGGGGCAGCAGGACTATGGAATAAGTGAGCAAAAATGAGCAAGAAGCAATGAGTTTCAGAACCTGAGAGGCATTTGGCAGCAAATTCCAGACTCCTTACTCTTCTAGTCACTAATCTCACACTGCTATTATACAGTGCCCCAAAGATACTGGTCTGAAAGCAGCTGTCCCTGCAAGTTCCAGATGGGATGGCATCTGTCTGGAACCCAAGAACCAGCATCAGTATTTAGTGGCAAATGTTATCCAGAGAGGATCATGACAATGGTTTCCTGGCAAAAAGGATTTACTGCTCTAAGGATTCTGTGAGCTAGAAAGCAAAGGGATGCGGGACCTAGAAGCAGTTATCCTGCCTGTCTCAGGTGCAGTGAATGGGGTTATTGAGGTTGCAAGGGATGGAAATTGTAAAGAGCAGTTCTTCTCACTTTGTCTTGTTTCTCCTTCATCCTTAGGTACCAAGATAGTGCCTGGTATGTCACAGCTATTCATGAATGACATGCATGAATAAATGAATGGCCCTTGTCCCAGCTTTGTCCCTCCAGGGACAACCCAGGAGGCCCACAGGGAAAATTCCCCAGGTACTTGGAATCCTAATGGGGAATGGTTTATCCCTGACTGAAAACATGAGCTAATGCCCAAGTCTCTAGTTGGCTCCTGTTGGGGAATGAGCTGGGATTCCCACCCTCCCTAGCAAGGAATGACTTAGGAGAGAGGATGCAAGTGGGGAGGGAAGGCCAGAGGGCCCAGAGTGGGCAATAAATACCTTCAATTCTGGCCCCTGAGCAAACAGATCCAAAAACCTGCACAGGTCTTAGGAGTGTGTGGCTTCCCTCGGCAGCCCCCAACTTGCAGCTTAAGAGGGATTTCAGTATTAGTCTGATCTAAGCACTGTTTTAAAGCCAAAGGTATGTGTTTTTGGATGAACTCCACCCTGCTCTGGCCATAGGCTTAGATGACGGAGAGCCTGCCCCAGACCACAGAGGCAGGTCAGGAGTCATGCACCCCTGTCTACAGTCTCCTGACCTGCCCCTTGATCCTAGAATGGATCTGTCCTGGGGTCGGGATGGGATGGCCTGTGCTGTGACTCTGCATCCAGCAGCTGCCTTGAGCCCCTGCTCTCTAGCCCAGGAGCCCTGTACCTGGTAAAACATTAGTTAGGTCCCTTGGCACCCAGCTCCCACTCTTGGCTCCAGGAGCCATGAGGGCAACAGTGCAGGACGGAGGCTGACAAAAGACAGAGCCCATAGCCAGAGTCGTGGCACAAAGGAGGGGCATCTCCTCCAGTCCCAGCCCCTGGCCCAGGTGCCCTCAGGGGAAATTTTCATAGTCTCAGAAAAAGAGGGCTAAAGGGAACACATATTTGTCCCCCAAATCCCAGAGCCCCAAGGAGGTAGTTTTAGGACAAATAAAAGGCGCACAGGGCAGGGAATAAACCTGCAGCTTGTTAGTTATACCAATGGGTTTTGGCCGAGCCTGTGGACTGCACCAGCTCGTGGGCTGTGCACTCAAAGGGGCTCATGAGAGAATGCAGTGAAGAGGGGTCAGCAGCCTGCCCCTCATGGCCCTCCCTTCCCAGCATCAGGGAGATTGGGGTTATGAAATTATAGGGCCAGAGGGAGACCCACCACCTCTCTACTGAGTGCTGTGCAGGGTGTTGCCATGGGCACCTTGGATTTGTGGCATGGGGGCATCACTGCTGCAGCAGAAGCAGGCTGGCAGCCCTGGGGCCAGGGAGGAGTCCACAAGGACCAACTGGCCAACTGGTTTCACCAATCATTCCAGAAAGGCAAAGCTGGGCCAAGGGTCTTGAGCATTCACTTGGGAGGGGTGGGGGCCCCAGCAGCCCCTCACTGTGATGGCTCAGTCCACGGACGGTTGAATAAAATAGGCTGGATTGGAACAGTCTGAAAATTAATCTCTGGTTACCAGAGATGTTTGTCGAAATTGACAACATGAACTCACCCCTCTCCCTAGAAAGCCTTTCCAAAGGCAGCTTCTCACACAGCTTCGTTCTAATACCCATCAGTAAAACCTAATGATCAGGATACAATCCACGAATGCAAGCAAATGCAGTTACTTCCTGCCTGGAGTTTTACAGCCTAGAATAGATTTTTAATCAAATACCCCTTGGGAAACACTAACTTTGCTCCCCTTCCTCTCCTCCATTTTCTGATACTTGCACCCAAGAGGAAAAATGTGGTTGGAGCTATTCCAGGAGTGCAATGGCCTGTTTTCCCACCCTGGTATCTGGGCAGTCCCACAGGTGAGTCCCAACATGAGCAAGGCTGAGGGGAGCAGGCCTGTGCCCATCCCATCTAACCCATGTGGGTTCATGGCTCCTTTTGAACACAGAGAGGACTTTCTGCTCCTGTCAATTGTGGATGGAGGCCCAAATCCTGGTAAGACTCTGGGCAAGACGTTGGGTCTCAGTTTAGCAGGCCCCCTCCCCTGCTAAAGACATGTTGGCAGTGGTATCAGACTCTGAGACTTCACCTTGATCCTCTTAGAAATAGCTTACAAATTCCCAGTCTCATCTGCTTCCCATGAGCCCAGCTGTGTCATTCCTGCACATGTTGATCAAGCGTGTGTGTGTTAATTATATGTGACATGCGAGTACTGGTCCAAAGAAGCCCTTACGCACATCAGAACCAGAACGCCAGCCTGCCCTTCCGTAACTAACAGCAGGGGGCGTCATGAAGCCACCAAGGGCCTGGTTTCTGATGAGACAATGCAGTGGGAAGCAGACCATGGGAAGTGGAGATGCGACGGGGCCGCTGAGTGAGAGGTGGGCTCAGCGTTCCTCTGGAATGCTGAGCCCACCTCCCCCCACCACCCCAGTTGCCCCCTGAAGCCTCCCCAGCCAAGGCTGCTGGGTTGGCCTAGATTCCAGCAACACCCGCCTCCCCCCTACTCTCTCCATCACACAGAGACTAGGAGATGCGGCAGCAGCCATGCACCTTCTCCTCCATGTCCTCCATGGGGGCCTTGAACTTTAAGAGCGGGGGGTCTCCACTGGTGACCGTGTAGTACACTGAGGTCCCGTTGCTGCTGTACGGTGAAGTTCTGCCTCCTATCAAGGGGGCCTTGCCTTCGCTGCTGCCCTCGCCCGTCCTGCCCATGCTGCTGCCCAGGTGGGTGCTCAGGAAGGGGTGGCTGAGCAGCTTGGCTGCCGCCCGCTGCCGCTTCAGCTCCAGAAGCGTCTGGGGGCTCTGTTCCTTGTAGCCACTCCAGGGCGGGGTGGCATCGGCCACCCCGGGGTTGCCATAGGCCACATTGTAGTCGGGCACCTCATGCACTTTCCAGACATCCCCGTTGGACAGCGCATACTGGTAGGCGCTGACTGGAGCCCGGAGCCCATTCTCAACAGGTACATCCATTTCACTTCGGGGGATCTTGGTCGGAAATTCAGAGAGCAGCACGGGCTTCTCCAGCCTGGGGTTCTGAGGGGGAGAAAGACACTGTTACCAGCCAGCGAGAGGAGCTGAAGCCACGATCCGCTTGCACCTTTGCAGAGGGCATTACTGTTTAGGCCTGTTCTCCGTGTTCCCTGCCTGGGTACCAATACTCCACATCCCTTCGGGGAACTCACAAGCTCTGTGCTCCAGTGGAGCAGACCAAGCCCCATGCTTGCCCCAGAAGCTGGACGAGACTCCAGGTCTAGACAGTCAACCGGCTCACTACATAATAGGTTCAGGGATGGATCCTTGACTAGCTAGTTCAGTGAAACTCAGTTCTCAGATGTTTGCTAGATGATTAGGGGAAAGAATCCTGTTTCTCTAGCAACTGGGAGGTAAGAAAGATGTCAGCTGGAGGCTGGGCGCCAACTCAAGGGGTCTGCTTGGCAGTGAAGCCAACACAAAGGAAGACTCTGTCACAGAGAGAGAGAGAGAGAGAGAGAGAGAGAGAGAGAGAGAGAGAGAGACTGTATCCTGATGCTTTTGTAGCCCCAGGACTCAGGGGGCCCAGACTTTTCAGTGTCACAAGTTAGCCAAGCCCTTTTTTGGTGTAAGGTGGTTTCAGATGGGTTTCGGTCACTTATGCTGTCTCCCCTGTGTCCTGGCTCATCCCCACCAGCCTCCCTCGGAGGCTCTGAGATGAAGAGGTGAGGCCAGGCCAGGCCCATCTTCCTCCTGAAGTGGTGGCTGATGCTGGGGCAGAGCGTGAGGCCACTCACCGGGTCCTTGTTCTCCTGGTCCGTCCTGGTCTCCCTGATGTCCCCGTTGTAGGTGGCGGTGCGCTGGTCCTCCGCCGCGCTGCGCTGCTGCCACAGAATGGCCTCCCCCTCGTACTCTTTCCTGTACAGGTTGGTCCTGTCCGACAGGCTGGCTCGACGCACCACCTTCCTGGGGGGAGAGAGGGGCTGCTGGGACGCTGTGCCACCCTGGCCCATGCTGCTCATGCTGCTCGTGGAAGTCAGTAGCAGGACACAGACTGCGGGCCCCCCGGCTGGCCCACCATCGACTCACCCGCGGCTGCCGGCACTGGACGTCCGCCGGCTCAGGGACGACTTGTGCCGCAGCTGGGACTTCATGATCACGTCGTGCTTGTGTTTTAGCTCCAGCAGCAGGACCTTGAACTCCTCCTCCTCACACAGGTCTGAAGGGGCAGAGGAGTGCATTGTTGGGGTCGGTGCAGGGGCCTGTGGCCTCCAAGGGTCTTCCAGATCAAGGGAGCTGCCACCCCAACCCACTGAAACTCCTAGTATTTTAAGGGGCATGCCGGGAGAAAATAATGCCAGCCTTATTTCCCAGGGGTACACCCCAATCCATTAAGGGGAGTTAGAACAGAAGGTCCAGGGTCATGCACAGTTACAACTCATAAGTTTCCCAGCCATGAACAAAGGCGTCATACACCTTTGAGAGTTGAGAATTTCCAAGTGGAGTCATCAACTCTCCACTGATACAAGAAGTATCAAGGAAACAAGCAGGTACCCATGGAGACCCAGCAAGCCATTATGTGGAGATGCCGAGAAATCCGCATCTTCCTCGCCACTCGCACCACGTAATCCTTCCATTCATCTACCTACTGATTCAGTGATCTAATCATCCATCCACAGATTCATCCTCTACCCACCCTCTTCTTATCCATCCATCCACTCACCTGAATATTCATCCACGCATCCATGCATCCATTCATCCACTAATCTATCATCCATTAATTTATTCATTCATCCTTCTATCCATCTACACACCAATCCGCCATGTGTCCAGTCATATATTCAACCATTTATCCCACTAACCATCAAAAACTGATGAATGCCTACTGTGTACCAGGTGCTGCATTGGACTCACCTATTGGCATCTCATCCATGGATGTTCTAGCACTGAGACTGGCCCCATGGGACACCAATAGCTCTGCCATCTGCATCTGAAATACAGGAATATGCCCAAGTTTCCCTGCCCAATGCTCAGAAAGTGTAGGAGCTGGATAGAGTGCCCAAGGACTCTTAGGATGTGATCCCAGAATGGTGGAAGCTAAGGTGATTTCCAGGGAAGGCTCTGAATCCTAGAGCCAGGAATCCTAGCAAATGCAATGGGCTTGACCATCTTCCAGCACACCTGGGCCATGCCAAGGTTCAGAAGAAGGAGTCAATCGTAACTCTAGAGCTGTCTAGAGCTAAGGAGTGGTTGTAAAAGGTGCAATCAGAGTTTTCTATCTGGGCAACCAATGGAGAAACTACTCAAAGCAGAGACATGGAGAATTTTCTAATTTGGCAAATGTCATTATCATCTTGTTGGGATATGTCTCAATCATTTTGTGGAGCTCCCTAAACCTTTTCATATCCCACAAACCAGCTATAGTCAACATTGAAGTAGGTCTTGTGTTCTTATGAAACAACTGCCAGTCCAAAGGGCAGCAGGTTGACCCTGTGCTGTCCCCCTCAGTCCTGTGGATGAGAACTACCTGTCCCCAGAAGGCAGCTGCGTGCAGGGGCTCCCAGCCATCCCAGTCCTTCACATCCACACGCACTCCATGGTCCAGGAGGAGCTCCGCTGCCCGCAGGAAGCCGTTAGCTCCAGCTACGTGCAGCTGCAGGAAAGGAAAGAAGTGAGCATTCCTGATGGGGGCTGGTCCCACATTTGGAAGCAGGATTGCCCATACCCTACCCAAGTTCCAGATCATTTTGGGTGTGAGTAGCATGGAATAGAATGAGATGGAAATACCATCCACACTGCAGGATTGTTAAGTGTACAATTATGGACCTAGAAGGTAAGACAGAGAGGTAAGCGCTTCTCCCCTCTAGTTGATCTTAGAGCCCCTGCAGTTAAGGCAAGAGAGCTTACTAATTCCTTACTATGCACCAAGACCTGTGGAAGGGGGTCTTATGGTCTAATATGGTGGTGTTAAAATGTGACTACAAAGTCTTTGACATAGTTCCCTTCAAAAGATGAATAATTCCTCTCCTCTTGAATGTGGATCAGAATAAATGAGTAGTTTCCAGCTAATTGGTTATCGTGAAATGGCTGGATGTGGTTTCTGCAGTGAGGTCATTAAAAGGCATTGTTGCTTCAATCTCTTGGCCTCTTGGATCCATCGTTGTAAGAAGAGGCAGCCACCATGTTGTGAAGACCCTCAAGCAGCCCTGAGGGGAGGCCCTATGGTGGTGAAAGCTGAGACTTCCAGCCAACAGCCAGCACTTACTTGCCAGCCGGGAGTATGCCACCCTGAAAGTGGATCTTCCAGCCCAGTCCACTCTTTAGATTCTGCAGCCCTTGGTAACATCACAACTGCAACCTCATGACAGACCCCTAATAAGAGCCATCCAGCTAAACTGTTCCCAATTCCCTACCCCACTGAAAATGGGGTAAGATAATAAAAGTTTATTATTGCTTAAAGATGCCAAGTTTGGGGGTGGCATCTTATGCAGCAATAGATAGCCAATACATCCAATAAGGGCAAGTCCCATGTTGAGGTCCCAATCTACCTGCACCGTTCAGGCCTCTGGGGATGAAGCCACCTGCAGAGCTTGGTTGTTCCACTTGCTCAATTTCCCAGAAAATACATAAAATACTTCATATGGGATAAGCATCCAGTAAGTGATACTGACATGGTATCTCAGACAGTCAGAGGCCCCTAGGTTAGAACAAGGAGCACCAGGGAATGAGCGAAGGAACGAGAAGATAGGCAAAGATAAGTCAGAGCCCAGTCCAAGTGGGAAAGAGAGGTCAGAGCCCTTGGAGGCCCACAGAAGACTGGCTGGGAGGAAACCAGAGGCAACCAGAGGGCTCGGGGTCAGCAGCACCCCAACCAATGGGACAGAGAAGCACAGCCCTGGAGGGCCCAGTGAACCCCAGAGGAGCACCAGCAGGTTGGATGATGTGCTGTTATGGCCTGGTCTTGACTTAGCACTGCAGTTCCCTCTCACAACTGGACTCCATCCTGGAGCACTGGGCTGAGCATATCTGAGCATTGACCCAGTTGGTAGAAAAGGGCATGAGAGTAGGGCTCAGGAACCCTGTGGGGGTGCCCAGTGGTCACCTCTGGACCACCAGCTCAGGCCTGAGGGTGTAGAGGGTACTCAGTGAGCCCTGCCTGATGAGCTCAAGATCCCAAGACCAAAAGCAAAAATTCTGACTATTTCACTTTCTAAGATAATTGTCGGTTCAAGTGAAGTTGGATACACACGGGTCATCAGAAACTAGCAAGACTGTTGTGACGTCGCCACAGCAAATAGCATCAGAAAGAGTTAGTAGGTGAATTTCACCCATAAAATCACATGGAAAAGTTTACTTGTGTGCTCTCATGTCTCTGTCATTTTTTCTAAAGCTGTCCTTCATTTTCAACACAAACCAACTCTACACTCACTTGCTGCTATTTTTGTAATTCAAAGGGGGGAATTTCAAAATATGTGATCTACAACATTGAGTACAATGATCACAAAGGCATTGTATAACTACTGTTGTGTCCTGCCAAGATGTATTTAAATACTGGGGAGACCAAAAAAGTACAATGACAAGCACTACCTGTGTAGTACTGTATTTTCGATTAGCCTGTTAATTATGCTTCATGAAGTCTGTTGATACCTTTTTTATTTGTTAAAAATAAAAGAGGTGAATCTCATCAGAATGAGCTACTCTGTGGATAGCAATTTATATGGTAAAGCACGCGGATCTAGGCCTACGCGACAAACACCCAGCTGTCTCATGCTGCTCGTGGAAGTCAGTAATAGGACACAGACTGTGATGCTATTAAAGCAACTCAGTAACAGAACATTAGGATGTCGGCTAAAATATCACCAATCAGTGCCAGAATTTTATAGAATGCTTTATAATGTTGTAGTGTTTTGTTTCACTGTTTAGGCAGTAAAAAATATCACTAATGTGATTGTGTCTCTTATCCATAGAATCCAGATTTAGATACCTCTCCACACACAAAAAAAAAAAAATCCCAAGACCCTCCCTGGGTACTGATGACCAGCCCAAAGCCCAAGTCCAGGGCAGCCATGGGGTGGGATGGGACCAAACTCAGTTTCAGTTTAGAGGCTGCAGAAGAAGATCTCCCTAACACTGGGCTGCTTTACGCTGTGAGAGCCTAAAGAGAGGACAGGATTCCCTAGTCAAGGACACTCGAACAGATAGGATGAGTGGAGCTAACTGGGCAGATCTAAGAGAGAAGGTTCAATTGTTCCCTATTTCCAAAGTCTAGTAATGCAGGTGGCACTAGGGAGGTATGTGTTTGTGTGCTGGCTGGCTGGCAGTGTCTGGACTCAAGTCAGGGAGCCCAAAGAGAGGCTACCGTAGCAATATCAGGGATTGTTGATGGGGCAAGGCAGAAGGTTAGGAGGGGAGACACTGAGGCAAAGGAATGGACCGGTGCAAAGCAAGATGACATGGGTGGGCTTATAAATGGTGGCACTAGTCCCGAAGGGAAGGATATCATTGGAAGAGGAGAAATAATGAGCTGAGGATGGACACCTGGAATTTGAGGTAAAGAAGACAGAACAGGTAGACAGCAGAGGCCAGTCTCCTACTGAGAGTGGCAGGTTCTCAAAGAGGCTGAACCCTGCTCTGCTAACTTCATATTCTGGGGCAACCCTGGCCCCAAGGGAGTCTGGAGGAGGTCCAAGGCCACAAACAGACTTCAGCTGTCTAGAACTGACCTCTACTGGGGGCTGGCCCAGTTTGGCTTAGTTGCTGCAGGTTCTGATAATGACCCCTGCCCCCAGCCCTGAATTCAAACCAGCCTGGCCCCTCTCCTCACCAGTGTGGCACCCTGGGCATCTACCCAGTCAAGGTCCTGGCCTGCTGCGATCATACAGTGGATGTCTGCTATCATCTGCTGCTCAGGAGCTGCCCGCATCTCATTGATTTTCTCCTGGGTGATGCCTGCAGTGGAAAAGGGGGGACTCATTCAGTATTCCCAGGAAAGGAAGGACAGATGGAGGGGCAAGGCTCCTGCTCCCCAGGCCCTGGCAGTCAAGGGAGTGGATAGATACTTGTCTCCCAGGCCTGATAAACACAAACTATATACTAGAACAAGGCCCATTCCAACCTGGGCCCCAGTGGACACTATTAACATCAATTACATATGCTGTTCTTATACCTGAAATCCCTGCCATTTACCTGTCTTCCTCCAGTGCTCAACACTGGCTCTATCTCATCCTTCAGTTCCAGCCCCATCGCCCTGTCCCCAAGTTGGCCTCCCCTCACCACCCTGTCTGAACCTATTAGATTTTTTTTTTTGTCTCATTCGTGGCTTTGTTTGCAGTCCCAGGCACAATGCTCAGTGAATGGACGAATTGCTGAATATAGAACTTTTAAATGGAGAGTTGAATAAATTGTAGTAGATAGGCTCAGAAATATAGTTGATAGCCAAAAAAGTTTAAGTGTTACCAGCAGCTACTAATGGTATTTAAGGAGAGTGACATGCTCTATGAAAAGGTCTATAAGAGCAAGCATTCATGGAGAGAGTTTGGGGGAGGTCTGTAAACTTGAAAGAAGAAAAAAAATGACATGTTTATTTTCACTAACCTTTAAATGAAATCAAATTTCCTTCCATTCAAACAAAACCCACAAATTCAGCAGTGCCTGTGGCCTCATCATCAACAGAAACAGTAGGCACAGTCATATCACGTTATCTTAATGTTTCATGGATTAAAAAAGTCTATATTACACGCTGCAAAATATTTTGATAGCTGTATTTTAATATAATTGGTTTTCTTTATAATCCTATAATTCGGAGAACCACATGTCAAGACATCACACTGAGAAGGGGTCCAGATGAAGAACTTCTGCAGGAGGTAGGCAGGAAAAGCCTTGGGGGGAGGGGGACGCAGGAGAGACCTCATCCACATATCACAGCCATCCTGGCACAGCAGCCTGGGGCACGGCCCGGGTCTGAATTTGAGCTGTATTTCTGAAGAGGCGCTTCAGAAGTGTATGTGAGGGGCGGGGGGGTGGGGACAGAGGAGCGGGCAGGTCTCTGTGATTGCCACATTTGTTTCCTCTCTGAAGCTCATTTGTGAACTGAGAACAGCCCACATCTTGTTTATCTGGGTCCCTGGCAGCCAGCGCAGTGCCTGGCACAGAGTAGGCACGGTTAATGTTCTGGACATTTTATCTTCCCAAATGGGAATATATCACTTTATCGTGAATGTTTACTGAATTGTCGCAGCTGACGATGAGGAGACAAGGCCAGATGAGGCCACCTGCCTGTGTGGGCGACATGGACAAGAACGGTACCTTCTTTCTGCATGGGGGCCTTCTGTGTCCTCATCTTGCTCATCACACAGACAACGGTAATAATGAGGAGCCATCCATGTCCTGAGCGCTGAGCATAAGGCAGGCAGGCATGTGGCTAGAAGACCAGTCCACCTGCTTTGACTTAAGGGACGCTCCCCCAGACACCACAACACCCCCACTGAACCCACTTTATGGCCGCTGCCCCACACTTACCCTGGTACGCCATGCACGTCTCGATGACATCCAGCGTGGGCTCATCCTCGCAGAGGTCATAGGGCATGTTCCCATCAGAGTTGACAGCAAGCAAGTCGGCCCCACTGCACAGAAAGGGTCAGTGTGAGGGCCAAGTGGATGTGGCTAGACTTGCTCTGCTGCCTCTGCTCTCAGGCCCTCCCCCCTAGGACTGTGCAATCCTATCCTCCTAGCCCCCCACCAGCCCACCATGGATAGCCCAACAAAGACTGCAGCTTCAGGATCCAGGACCCCCAATTATGAGGGGCCATAATTCCAGGAGGGCTAGCCCAGCAGACCTCCCCAGCTTCCTGCTCTGTGGAGCCAGCAGGCAGGAACTTAGGATGGATGTCAAAGCCTTCCCTGGTATCAATAACAAAAATAACATTAACAGCAGCAACACTAGTATCAGGCATCTGCTTAGAGCCAGGCTTGATCTAAGTCCTTCACGTACATCATCTTATTTAAGTCTCTTAATAATTCCCTTGGGTCAGTATTGTTCATCCCATTTCACTCAAGGGGAAACAGATTCAGATAGATCCAGTCACTTGTCCAAGGACACACAGTTAAGATATGGTAGGGTTTAAGACTCAAACCTGGTATCTCTCATGCCAGATCTTTGCATTTCTCCACATTCTATTTCCATCTTTGCCTACATACAAAAGATTCTGTGGTGGCCCTCCACTTCTTCCTCCAAGTTTCTGTCCAAAAGACTGACTAGAACATGGATAAGACAGAACCATGGGGCTCCCTGGCAGAGTCTACCCTTTGGGTCAGTGATTCACAAACATGGTGCTGGGATGCCCTGCAGCAGAATTACCTGGGAGCCATCAAAATACTGATTTCTGGGATCCAATCCAGATCTCCCCAAGCAGTCTCTGGGGGTGGGGCTCAGGATTATATATTCCAATCCCAGGTCCCACTGGTACAGATGAGCATGGGGGCCCACTGTGCCAGGTTGGTATCATTCTTTTTCCACTATCACTAATTAGACTGCATAGCCACACCCAGGTTCTCATCAGAGGGGCAGGCATGGGTTACTAGGCAATCCTTGAGCCAAACAGCCTCCACTGTGGCCTCTCTGAGCTTCCCTGTGCTCTTGGGCAAGTTGGTCTACCTCTCTGAACCAGGGCAGAAGTATTGTCATCTCATCCTCCCTTCCCCCTCATTACACAGGCTCTTGCTGCTCTGCCAAGACCTCTGCTAAAAGTCAGCTGTCTTAGCCATTCTTCATAACTCCCGATATATACTCAGAGGTTCTCCTTTGTCTCCTGGGATCCCAGTCTACTGGTCTTGCTTTGTCTCAGCTCTGCTACTGAAATCGCCTGATTTCATGTCTGGTTTCCTGAGGACTTTTGCATCCCTGAGTGCCCAGTGCCCAGCCCTGGACCAGCTCAGGTACCTGAGCTAATTATCAGATGAATGCAGCTGAATATACTTGAAATTGAATGTCGCCTTTTCTGTGTGTTTATAAAACCCAAGCAAACTAGAAAGAATTTCAGGGCAGGAAAGACCAATCAGAGCTGTAGACATAGAAATGGTCTTATTCCTGGGGAAGACCTGCTGCTCGGAACACCCAAAGCAAATTCTGCCCCACAGAAAAGCATGTAGACAGGATTTGGGGGGCAGGGCCAAGGAAGTTTGCTTGTTTTTTTAATAGCAAGAATAACAAGTACACACAAAGAAAGTGGAAGAAATGAATATAGACTCATGGACACTGAAAAAAAGATTTTAAAAAAATGATACATTGATATGAATGCCAGACAGAGGCACTACAAGACAACTACACACCCATAGCTCTATTAACACTGATGCCACAATTGTCAACAAAATACTAAAAACCAATTCAGCAGCATATTAAAAGGAGCGTGCATGATGTTCAAATGGTATTTGTTCCTAGAATGCAAGGATGGCTCAAGACATGAAAAACAACTGATGTAATTACACATTAAGAGAATGAGGAAAAGAACCAGATGATCGTCTCAATAAATACAGAAAAAGCATTCAACAAAATTCAACAACCTTTCACTATAAAAATTACTCAAACTAGGAATAGAAGGAAATTACAACAACATAATAAAACCCATATTTGAAAGGCTTGACAATAGACATTTCTCCAAAGAAGATATACAAATGATTAATAAGAAAATGAAAAGATTCTCAAGATAATTAATCATTAGGAAAATGCAAGTCAAAACTACATGAGCTGTGATTTTGTAGCCTTAGGATGGCTACTATGAAAAAAAAAAAACAACCAGAAAATAAATGTTAGTGAGGATCTGAGAGAACTAGAAACCTTTGTACACTGTTGATAGGACTATAAAAAGGTACAGCTGCTGTGCAAAACAATATGGTAGTTCCTCAAAAAGTTAAAAGTGGAATTATCATATGATCCAGCAATTCTGCAGGGTCTTCAAGAGATGTGTTCAGAGCAACAGTACTCACAATAACTAAAGTGCAGAAGCAACCCAAGTGTCCATCAATAGATGAATATGGGACACACATGATGGAGTATTATTTGGCCCTAAAAGAGAAGAAATTCTGACACCTGCTCTAGGATGGATGAACATGCTAAGTCAGTCACAAACAGACAAACACTATATGGTTCCACTTATATGTAGTCCTTAAATAGCCAAATTTGTGCCAGTAGAATGGTGGTTATAAGAGCTGGGGTGAAGAAAATGGAACATTATTGTTTGATGGTGATGGAGTGTCAGTTGGGAAGATGAATTCTGGGGATGGATGGTGGAGATGGTTGCACAGGAAAACCACTGAACACCTAAAAATGGCTACAATGGTCAATTTTATGTTCTGTGTCTTTTATTATAACAAAATTTGAGATAAAAAAGAAAGTGAAAGGGAAGAAATGGTGTGTACATGCAAGAGTGAAGGAGAGAGAGAGATTGAGAGAAAAGGATAGAGACACACAGCGATAGAGAAAGAAAAGGGGTATTAGGAGGAAGAGGAGGAGATAGAAACAGAGAGAAAGAGACGAAGAGAGGATATAGAGGGGGAAAGAGAAGAGAGTTTGTGGGCACTAAGTGGGAGGGAGGGAGGAAGGGACGGAAGAGGAAACAGTGAAAAAAGAACTTGGGTGAAATAGAAGGGCAGGAGGCTGTTCTGGGGTGGGGGGGGGACGTACTACTGAACGAGGAGTTTCACCAGGTTGATGTGCCCACAGGTGGCTGCGGCGTGCAGGGGTGTCCACAGCTCGTTGTCCTTGGCATTCACGTTGGCACCATGGGAAAGGAGCAGCTTGACAATCTCCTCAAAGTTGTCGATGCAGCACTGTGAGGGGACACAGGCAGAGTCAGCTCCAGCAGGGCCCGACTTCTGGAGTGGACACACTGGGGCCCCCTCCATGAGGACAGTGAGCCAAACTGCCTGAGCTGGAATCCAGTGCCGTGACTTAAATGCTGCATGATCCTGGGACGTCACCAAGCCTTTCTGAGCCTGTTCTCTTGTGACTGAGTTGGTAATATAACATAAAAATATAATATTTTAAAAGTCAGCTATAAAATACTCTGTAAGTGTTAGTGGAATGGAACATAATTTTAAATGAAGCTTTAAGCCCTTTTTTCTTTTAAATTTCAGAAGATTTTCTTCAAACAAAATTGTATGGAGAACTGGAACTTACATATACAATAAATTCAAGCAGAGCTGCTCAGATTAAAGCAAGTGTGTGTCATTGGCCAGGGTGGGGAGCAGTGATTGGGGTCCCCCTTCCAGGCAGTGTCTCTGGATCATAGCTTGAAAGCTCTGATTTAGGAATTTCTGACCCAGGATTTAGTGACCAAGCCTCCCCCTCAAAGAACCTGCTCTTTATGAGAGCTCCAGGGGGCCCAGACTCCGTGTTCAGCCATGTTCATCCTCCTGCCTGTCCACAAAAAGAGAAAGGGTCAGGAGCCTGCAGCCCCCCTGAAGAGATGCAGGGCTCCAGCAGCCATGAGAGCCCACAAACTCTAGGGACAGTAAGTGAAGGATCCCAAGGGGACAGAGGAGCCTCAACCCAGGGCCATGCGAGGGAGAAGCCAGGACAGAGGAGAGAAGCCAGGAGTCACATTTTACTGCAGGATGGAGAAGCCAGGAGAGAAGGAAGCAAAGGACCTGTGCTGAGCGCTGCCCCTCCTGAGGGCATGGTCCTCAGTGCAATGGGCGGCGCTGCAGAGTTATACTCACAGGAGCAGCATGATCAGACTTAAAACATCTTTTGTAACCCATCCTCTGCCTGTATGTGGAGAGCAGGTTGCAAGCACACAGCTTTCGGAGTAGGGTTTTAGAGGCACCCAGTTATAAGATGACAGTGTCCTGGCCTACAGGAGTGATGGTGAGCATGGGGAGAGGTGACTGGGTGCCAGCAGAAGGGATGGGGGTGCATTTGCAGGTGGGAATGGGGATGGGTGATGCCATAACCCCCACCCCCATCAGCAGTGAAGTCAGAGCTCAGAGACACTAGGACATGTGAGGAAGGAACAGTCATTTGCACAATTGGTGCCAGAGACCCAGGTTCTCTTTCCATACCAGCTAGCCTGGCATTGGCTGGCTCTAAGTGCGTATCCCAGTACAGGGGTCCACAGGGGACCCAGCGAGACCTGGCACTGCCTCAGGTCATCAGGAGAAGCAGGCAGTGGCAATAAGAGGCAGCAGAGGGCGCCAAAGGCACCAGAGTGAGGCAGTGGCAACAAGTGCAGGATCCCAGACTGTCACGTGGAGAGAGGTGGGGGAACCCCTGCGGAAGGGAGAGAGGAAGAGCTGCCCAGCCCCTGGGGTCATGGAACAGGGAGATCAGAAAACCCATTCTTAGAGGCTGCAGAAAACGAGGACTGTAGGGGAACCTCAAGTCAAAAGCGGGGGAGATAGTGCACCCAGGATTCTAGTTGGGTGAGAGGGCTCCTGGGGGCTGGGCCAGCCAACACCTGGGAATCCTGGCCCAAGCATGGGCTAGGTGCAGGGCTGCCCGTCGTGGGCAGTGCCTGGAGGAGGGGGCTGACTTCTCCTCCCACCTCCCCCACCGTAGGACTTGGCACCTGGCAGCTGGCTGGCTCCTTCCACCCCCTCACTTGCCCCATCCACCCTACCACGGGGTGGATCCCATCTCTGCATCGCTGCCCCATCCCCACTGCCTGGTGGAGGCTCCCCATCTCTCCCGCCTCCCTGCTGCTCCCCCTGCACACCCTCCACCACAGGCTTCCTCATTGCTCCAGTCCTGCTGCTCTCAGTTTACAAACCTCGGAGGCTTCCTGTTGCCAAGAGAAGAAACCCACACTGCTTCAGTGGCGTGCAAAATGCTTCATGTGTCAGAGCAGCAGTGACAATCACAACAACAGCCAGACAACAACGTAATAATGTCCCACTCTCCCAAACACCAGCTAGCGCTTTCCAAGGTGGTCCAGGAGCGGCGAGCCTAGCTAACCCTTGGGCCCACGCTGTCTCGATTAATGCCTAGAACAGTTCCAGTGCTGCACAACCACATGTGTCTAGAAGCACCATGCTGGGCAAAGGAGAGGCACAGAACATTCCACCGCTGTAGAAACTTCTCCCGGACAGTGCTATCCCTGAGCCTCAGCTCCCTGAGCTATGAAACAGGGACAACGATGTCGTAGCATCAGCTCTCACACCACATAAGTGGTTCTCAGAGCAGTGGGTGTGTGGTACATTTTAATGACAACAACAATATCCAATATCTATCCTGTGTCAGGTGACGCTTGCAGGGTAATAGGCATTTATTTAATTCCAGAACAACAGATGAGGGGGGTTCTTATCATCCCTCTTTTACAGATGAGGAAAGTGAGGTACAAAGAGCTTAAGTAACTTGTCCAAGGCCACAGCTAGAATTTGTGGATGTCAGAAGGGACAGGAGGGCCTCCCTGGTAGCGCAAGGGGTGAAGCGCAAACTGTGTAGCTGTCCGCAGCCTCTGGAGCACGAGTTCAAGTTCGATCCCCAGCCAGTCAAGTTCGATCCACACTCAGTCTCTGGTGAATCCTCTCATCCCGCCCCCCTGCACCTGTGGCCTGTACCCTGGTTCTTATATGCATAAATAAATAAATCTTTTTTAAAAAAGAAGGGACAGGAGAAGCTGGGAGGACACCCAGAAAACCAGGGGGTGATGGCTGAGGGTGGGTCTTTGGGTCAGGGCAGTGGGGAGTCTGTCATCCCATCTGGCCCTCACAAGGAGGTGGAGAGACTGTCCCCCCCCCCCACCAAGCCCTGGCTCTGGCAGCCTGGCTTCTCACCCACCCACTGCACCAAGTCCACCCCCAGAAACTTGGGTCAGAGCACAGGGAGGTGACATTGGCTCCATTCACTAAGTTGGCATGCACATATTGAACACCAACTGCATGCCAATACAGGGAAAGATGCGGAGGTATGCTGGTGAGCAAGACACAGGGGCTGTGCCCTAGTGCGGCTCAGAATCTGGGGCACAGACCAATCAAAAAATCATGCTAATGACTAATTTGACAAATAATAGTGATGCTCAGCAGGAAAGGATATATATACAGCAGCACATATGCTCATACCCCTTGCTGCAGACTGAGTGCAGCGGTCAGTGCAATGGAGAGGAGCACAGTACATGCAAGGACCCCAGCCAGGAAGAACCAGGGCACTGCAGGCACCAGCCCCCAGCATCGCAGGAACACACGAGTACAATTTAGTAAAATCAATACACTTGTGGCCTGAGCTGCCCTATGGCCGTGGCAGGCCAGACAGATTTTTGGGGACCCATGAGGAAGCCATTGCAGCACCCAGATGAAACAGAATGGCGAGAGCAGCCCCTCCTCAGAGAGCAGCCCAGTCCTTCACACTGCCTAGAAAGGCTGTGTGTTAGGATTCGTGACCTGCCTGAGGTCCCATGAGACCCTGCAGGTCACCATTGTCACCAGGGTGGAGGCGTGGGTGGGTGTGAACATGCTTTGTAAACTGTCAAGCTCCAAACAAATTTGCTTTGTGGTTCAAGCCCTTGGCTGGGCAGCGACCAGGCAGCACACAAAGGCTCCCTGTGTCGGAAGGCCATGCGGGTGCCACATGCACGTGCTCAGGGCCCCTGTGGGTGTGTTTGTAACTGACACACGCAGCCCCGAAGCAGACAAAAGCCTTTTTTTTTAATTTTTTTTTAAGATTTATTTTTTATTTATACAATAGCTGGGGTACAGGCCAGAGGTGCAGGAGGGTGAGAGGATTCACCGGAGACAGAGTGGGGAGCAGGACAGGCAGACAGACTGAAAGCACTGCTGAGGGGAGCAGTGGGCGCAACAGAAGAGGTCTGCCACGCCATGTGGGAATCTCCCTGGCTGGCCAGGAATCAAACCCGTGCTGCAGAAGCTGCAGACAGCTTCACAGCGCTGTGTTCAACCCACTGTGCCACAGGGGAGGTCCGACAAGAGCCTTTTAGATGGGCCAGCTGGGGATCCTGGCCCTCCCTCCCCTTACCCTGAGGGTTCTGGGCAGGAAAAAGCAGGGAGATAGGACACCTGTCCAGGGGGGAGCAGGGAGCCACCCCCACCCCCAAGAGCCTGGTCTTACCTGGTGCAGGGCTGTGAGTCCATCCTCGTTGCACAAGTCAGGGCTGACCTTGTTCTTTAGGAAGTAGCGCACTGCAACAGAGAGGCAAGAAAGAGTCCGTCACAGTGGGCATGAGGGTATGGGGGTGGGGAGTGGGCAGGTAAGACCCTCCCTCCCTCAGGTCCTGAAACAAACTGCCTGTTCACCCCTTACAGCAGGTGTGTGGAGGTCTCAACACCTCTCCCATTTCACAGATGAGGAAACTAAGATATCCAAGAGGTGCGTGGGATCCCCTGTCTTCTTCTGGAAAATAATAGAGTGAAGGATCAGCCTGCACTTTCTGTGGGCCAGGCCCTGAGTTAAGCAATTTAAATTCATCGCCCAGGGGAAGAATATTCTAGGGAAGCACATGCTCTGGCGTCTGATGGCTTGGTTCAAACGTGAGTGCCATTCTCACTGGTTGTACAAACCCAGTCAAGACATTCCCTCTCTGTGCCTTGATTTTCTCATCTGTAAGATGAAGATGATGTGAACCCTCCCTCCCAGGGGCTCCATAAGCAATGACTGGAGAGCCAGGCCAGGGCTCAGCACAGTATCTGGCACATGGTGTGAACATGAGTGATTATTCTGGTGGCTGTTAAGATTTTTATTAACTCTGCAGGTCCCGCACAAGGGGGTAGTTCACCCCTGAGAACCGTATGCCCCTTCTTTGGCCCTACTCAGCTGAGATCGCAGACAGCAGGGGGCTTTAGCCAATCCCACCCCTAGACCTTATGTAATTGTGTGTTGTGGGGGACATTCAGGGATGGCGGGTGGGAGAGGGAGCCGGAGGAGGACACCAAAGGGAACTTCAACCACAGCCTGGAATCCCTCTTGCTCAGGATCCCCCCTGCCCCTTACCACTGTGACTCTCCCCTCTGGTCCACCACCTCTCCACCTTCAGGGTTTCCCATTCAAGTGCAATGGGAAGGAAAGGGGAGTTCCCCCCACCAGCCCGCAGTTTCCCTTTCTGGTCTTGCCACCTGGAACCCCTGCTCTGGCCCCCTGAACTTAGGAGGTGCACATCGGCCAGCCTCCCATGGGCGAGGAGGCCATGGGGACAACAGGATGAGTCTGCTGGAGCCTGAGGTTCCCCTGTGGTCTGTCCTTTCCATCCCTGACCAAATGGCTCCAGGCCTGCAAGGGCCTCTACCCCAGATCGGTTTCTAGGCATGGACTGTGCAATTCGTGGCCAAGTACACCTCTGGGCGAAAGGGGTAGCCAAGGAGTGGCTGCTTACAGGGCAAGTGACGTGTTTGGCTGTGTGTGAGGCTCTCATGGTGCAGATAAAGCCAGGGTTAGGGATCTGGGCTCTGCAAATGGGAGGAGCAGGCCAGCCCTGCCTCCCGGCCCCCTCCCAATCCCACCACATTTCTCTTCTTCAGGAAGAGCCCAAGTCCATACGTCCTAATGCCCACTGCAGACGCTGTATCCCTGAGCTGTGAAGGGTGGGGAGAAGGCCATTCTAGCCAAACCCCAGTGGGTACCAGGAGCAGTGGGGCTGGGTGGCCCCTCAGCTCATCCTTATGAGGCCCAGCTCCAGGACCCACAGTCCCGGGCACCCTTGGCCTGAACATGACAGCAGCCCAGCATGAAGGGGAGGCTGAGCTTCAGTCCAGCCTCCTGGCAAGAGGTGACATATCCAACAGACTTGCCCAAGAGGCATTCATTGCTGCCAGGGCCCAGGCGTGCCCAGGTACCATCAAATCCTCTGGAGCCATATGGAACCACAGACACATCTGGCTATGATTAAGGTTTCTTAAATTTAAATTAAAAAAATTTTGAAATTCACTTTCTCAGGCACTCTGGCCACATTTCAAATGTTCAACAGGCACGTGTGGCTACCATCTTAAAAAGTACAGAAATAGATCATTTCTATTCACAGAAAGTCCTATTGGACAGTGCTGCTTTGGGACATGATAAATGTAAATTAGTGCCATCACAAACTGCCAAAACCCTTCCATCACCCCCCACTGCCCTGGGAGCAAAGTCCAAAACCCTTCTGTGGTACACACATCTGACTGATGGGATCCAGCCTGCAGGTCTCCATCTTGCACAATTTCAGGGCATGCCACTCACATCACGGCCTATGAGAGGCCAGCACCCCCTGGAGGAGTGCAGGACACAGCTCTGCTGTACACAGGGCCGCTACCTGCCTACCTCGGCAGGTCTCATCTCCAAAACCTTACAGGATGGCCTTTTGTCTGCTACAAAGTCATCAGCTACAGATGGCTCTGTGCTTTTACCTAACCTTGCCCCATTACCTGGAAGACTCAATTATCTGTTCATGCATTCATCCACTCACCCACCATCTATCCATAATCACTCATGCAGCTATCTAAGCATCCATCCATTCATCTACCATCCATCCACCCACCCACCCACCCATCCACACACCACTCATCCATCCATTCATTCACCACCCACCCATCCATCCATCCATCCACCCATCCATCCATCCACCCATCCATGTGCCATTCATCCAGCCATTCATTCACCACCCACCATTCATCCATACATCCATCCATAATCCATACACACATCCATACACTATCCATCCATCCATTCATCCATGCATCCCTCTCTAGTACACACACACACACACACACACACACACACACACACACACCCTTACTTCACTCCTCATCCTTTCAGTCTAAGCTCAAAATCTCTAGACAAGGGTAAGACCCCTGTTATGTACACCCACAGCTGTTCCATCATTTATAATTTTGTGATTGCAACTATACTTAAATATTTGGGTAATTAAGGGCTTCAGGTCTGTCTGACACTAAGTTCCAAGAGGACAGAATGGTGACCTGGCAATTACTGTTCTTTTCCTAAAGCCTAGAACACTGGAAGTCCTCAATATCCCTTCCAATAACTAACAACCAGGACTATGACCTAACCATCAGCCTCCTAGCTTGGTTGAGAACACAGCCTCTCCAACTCTGAGCAAAGCAGACCACCCTCTGGTGCTGGCCCCAGATGGCTCATGGCTGCACTCTGCAGCAGGGCCCATGGGTGCCTCCTGCAGAACCATGGATGGCCAGGTAGCTGTCTGAACTTCAGGGTCATGTGAGGAGATTATAGCAAGGTCACTGATCCCTGAGGCCCAGATTGTCCATGCGCTGGTGTGCCCTGGACCTGGCAGTCAGCCTTCAGGAGAGTAGAAGTGACCATTATGAACCCAATCAGGGGAGATTTCTAGAAGTTTCTGCTCACATGAGGCAAAGGTGGGAGGTGGATCTGGCGTCCTGTCCAGGAGATGGCCTTTGAGACAAAAATTAAACATCAGCTGCCAAAAGCAGTGTTTGTATGTGGTAATTATTGGGGTGTTCTCCATGCTGTGTGGGAGCCTAAGATATGTAATTACTCCAAAGTTGGGCAGTTATTTTCAACCCAAGAGGTGGGACAAATCATCCCCATCACCCAGGGGCCCTCAGGATGCATGAGCCAGCACACTCAGCAGTTCCACTTCTGCTCTGGCCGGTAGTCCATGGGCCGACTCTGGCCACAGCTCATTGTAACAAAGACCCGATTTCCTGTGTGTGACCTGGTGTTCCTGCCTCTGGGTTCAGTGAGAAATGTTATGCCTACACCAAGTGTCTTCTTAGTGAGCTATGAGCTTAGTGTCACCCTATGTGCCCAGGTCAATGCAAAACCATTTTCTTTCATGGGTTCATGTCTGTCATAATCCCCCCATGGAGAAGAGGAGGCAGAGAGTCAGGACAGCTCAGCCTCACCCAGCCAGATGAAAGAGCTGGGGTGTGGCACCAGGCTCTCTGATGTCAAAGCCCAGGCGTGGACCACAGGCTGTTCCCCTCTGCCCCCCAGGTCAGGACTGGGAACCAGCATTGCTAAGTCCTGCTGAGTGACCACTGAGAGCTAATGCAGGGAGGAGGTGACAGAGGAATGGACAACAGGGACCTCTGCTCTGTAAGCATTGGAGACCCTCAGGCTTTGGGCCGCATCTCTGCTTGCAGAAAAAAGGGTTTGGGATCCTCCAATAGGACAAAGAAACACATAAGTAGGCCTCCCTTCACTTCCTGTTCCACATTGCTCTTAGAAAAGTTCGAAATCCTCCATGGCCTTCACTGGGGTTGGCAAACTATGATTTGTGGGCCGAATCTGGCAGGCAGCCTGTTTCTGTAAATGAAGTTTTATTGAACACATTCATACTCATTCATTTACGGATTGTCTATGTCTGCTTTCACCCCACAACAGAAGAAGTGAGTAGTTACGGCAGAGACTGGATGGCCTGCATATGCTAAAATTCTTACTATCTGGCCCTTTACAGACAGGTTTGCAGACCCCAGTCTTCAAGGTGCTACATGCTGTGGTCCCACCTGCAGGGTTACTGACGTGCACAGTCCCGGGGGCACCATTCTCATCATAGTCTGTGTAAATGGCTTGTTCTTAAGTTGTGCAGTGTGCAGCCTGCTCAGCCGTACCCAGCAGACTTCTCTCCCCCTATGTGTCCAGGCTCAGCTCTTGCTCTCTAAGCACACTGCACAGTGGAGAAAGCTGACTGGGAACTCGAGGGGTAAACAGGGGCTCAGGGAGCACAAAGACAAGAGAAGGGTGCTCTGCCCTCCAACCAGCCTTGTGCCACTTGGTTGCCAACACTCAGGTGCGCCCCCTGCCCCCAAAGTCTGGCTCTCAGCTTGTCAGAGTGACCCACCCATTCTCCTGTATGTGCTCAGCTGTGACTTTTGGAAAGGCATTCCTTCTCTTTGTGCCTCAGTGTCCTCATCTGTAAGATGGGGATCACACAACAGTGCCTCCTTTGTGGGCTTGCTGTGACGAGTAAGGTAATACCTGAGAGCTACCACTATCACTTATTTAAAAACAAAACAAAACAGCAGCCACTGAGCTCCTGCCTAGTCCCTCCCTGTGCTAGGCACTGAGGATTTAGCCATCAGCTTCTGGCATCTCTCAAGAACTTTCCACCTGGTTGTCAAAATAGAGGCCAGCTCCATCCAGGAAGCAGAGTGAGACCACAGTGCAGGTCCCCACTGTCCCTCATACTGGCAGGACCCCACTGACATGACAA